TAAATGCTAAGGTTAAAGAAGTTAAATTAGAACACGCTTCATGCTTACAAATAGATGTATACAGCAATACAATCTTGGGAATATACCGCTCTCCTTCAAATACAAACGCCAATAAATTCATTAATTCGTTAAGTTTGCATTTAGAAAACATAAAATCAAAAGAAATCATGATTTTAGCTGGCGACATAAACGTTAACATTGCACCTAAAATAAATGAAAATTCATATGAACGTAGTAACAGAGAAAATTATTAAAATATGTTAAGTATGCACGGCTTAATACCCGGTCACTACTTACCCACAAGAGAAACCAGTTGCCTAGATCACTTCATTCTAAAGCTAACACAAAGTAAGGTCTATGCTCAAATTGCTGTCTTACTTACAACAATTACTGATCACTCAATGATACTACTAAACCTATCTAACTTAAAATTAATAAATGATTGCACAAAGATAAAAACAATTACAGATTATAAAAGTGCCTTTAACAGCTTATTACAAAATAATCTTACTGAATTACTTTTTTGTGACAATCCACATACAGTCGTAGAGATGTTAGTTAATAAATTGAGCAAATCATTACGAGAAAATACAAAGATTGTGCATCTTCCAAAAAATAAACGCATTTTAAAACCTTGGATAACACCTGGCATTGTGCGTTGTATTAGAAATCGCAATAATTTGCAAAAAAAGTTGCATTCCGATCCTTACAATGAAATTCAAAAAAAATTATATATAAGAGATATCGTAACTTTTGTACTAAAATAATAAAAAAAAGCAAAACAGAGTTATGAAAGACAAGTCCTGCAGATGTCTCTCAATAACAGTAAAAGTCTTTGGAGAAATATTAAAAGAATAGCGCATTTAAATCAAACAAAAATTAGTAATACAGATTTATTACAAGCAAAAGCAACACCATTAGATTCGGTAAATTATGTTAATAACTTCTTTGCCAATGTACGCAAAAATCTTGCCAAAAAAAAATATTAACTAGAAATAACAATAGTAAATGTATAACACTGGTTGGACAACCACAGCTTTCATCCTTTGTCTTGCTAGATACAGATCCTTACGAGGTACATGGTGTTATCATGAGCCTAAAATCAAACAGTGCTCCTGGATGGGATAACATTCCAGCGCATTTTCTAAAACTTGCAGTAACTCAAATTACTCCTATAATCTGTCACTTTGTAAACATTTGTTTTAATGATGGCGTTTTTCCTCAACCTTTTAAACAAGCTGTTATAACACCAGTGTATAAGAATGGGAATAGAGGTGATGTTAGCAACTACAGACCTATTTCAGTACTACCTTCACTTTCTAAGATATTGGAAAAGCTTATCAACAACAAGATTATTAAGTTATCTTACTAAGTTCGATATCTTGTCTGACTGTCAGTATGGATTCAGACAAGGTAAATCCACTGAAGATGCAATCTTAGCTCTTAGCTCGTATATAATTGACAATTTAGATCAGGGTAAAAAATGTCTTGCAGTTTTTCTAGACCTTAAAAAGGCCTTTGATGCTATCTCTATCCCCATCCTTTTACAAAAATTAGAAAAAATCGGCATCAGAGACACAACCTTAACATTGTTTAAGAATTACTTATTTAACCGTACACAAAAAGTTAAAGTAGGACAGTTTATTAGTGAGGACACATACACCACTTACGGCGTACCACAAGGTAGTATTTTAGGCCCAACATTGTTTCTAATTTATATCAATGATCTATGTAATCTGAAAATTAATGGTGCCCGTGTGTTCACATATGCCGATGACACAGCTGTAGTTTTTACTGGAGCATCGTGGGATGAGATTCGTAAAAATACAGAATCTGGTCTTACTATAATTGCAAGCTGGCTTCAATCAAATTTTCTAACGTTTAATGCACTTAAAACTAATTATATTTGTTTTACTATTAAAAACCGAGCTTAACCAGGAAGTAACTTTAACATAAAGATACACACTTGCAACATTGACGAAGTTCAAAATTGTAACTGTTCTGTCATTACGAAAGTTTCTTCAACCAGGTACTTGGGGATCATTATAGATGAACGTTTAACTTGGCATGAACATATCGATGTAATAACATGTAGATTTAGAAAATTAGCCTGGATTTTTAAAACGCTAAGACATATTACTTCAGATACGCTCATTAACAAAATTTATGTAGCATTAGCTCAATCGTTAATAACTTACTGCCTTCCGATATGGGGTGGAGCAACAAAAACAAAATTGTTGCAATTAGAAAGAGCTCAACGTGCCTTAGTAAAGACAATGTACTTTTTGCCCTATAAATTCCCAACAAAAAGCCTGTATTTAAAAACTGATATACTAAGTATAAGAAAATTATATATTTTGCACACAATATTAAAAAAGCATAAAGGTTTGATTTTCGACCCAAATACTTTGAACAAAAGAAGAAAAGACATTGTACTTAATTCATTTTGTGTTAAAACTGCATTCGCTAGACGTCAGTTCATTAACCAATCTATCTATCTATATAATTTTGTCAACAAAAAGCTTAATATTTACTGTAGAAATGCCAAGGACTGCAAGATTTTGATTATAAATTGGCTAAAGACCCTGTCTTACGAAGACACAGAAAAACTTATGTTTCGACACATAGGGTGAGAGAGAGAGAAAAACCACACAACACACACACACACACACACACACACACACACACACACACACACACACAACATTTATTTTTGAATATTTTATTTTCTTTTTTTTTTGTATAATATTTTTTTTTATGTAATCTCACGTCTCTTGAACGTTTTCTTTGGCTATGGAAGAGCGGGAGTCTCTGACACAAGTGCCTTAAGGTACTTAAAAGATGCTCCCTACCCTATGCAAATTGTAAATAACAAGAGAAATAAACTATTATATATATATATATATATATATATATATATATATATATATATATATATATATATATATATATATATATATATATATTAGATACTATAATAGCACCTTATCAAGCCACCACTATTTTTAATACAAGCGTCGAATCTCTGTGTTTCCTGATTTAATAAAACATAGTAACGTCATACTTTTAATTAAATCTGGTAGTAAATTAGACTTAGTTAATTTTAGATCAATTTTTGTAATTTTTTTTAAAATATCAACATTTAGTAATTTTTTAAAAAAATTATTTTACATAGATCAGATGTAATTTTTTTTAATGGAAATAAGTTGCTTTATAAAAATCAATTCGGTTTTACAAGGGGTCGCTCGACAACTGACGTCGGTATTGAACTTATTATACATATTTTTTGTGCGTGGAAGAATTTCGAGGATGCTTTGGGTACATTTTATGATCTTTTCAAGATCTTCGACTATGTTATCCATGAGACATTAATCAGGAATCGACAGAACTATGGTGGCAGGAACATAACGCTTAAATTTATAATTTCAAATTTAAGTTATGGAACTTAGTAAGTTATTATCAATTTTAAAAGTTCCTCTACTAACAATGGGTGTCCCTCGAGACTCAATTCTCAGCCCATTCCTATTTTATAGTCTGTCCTATTTTATATTGTGACTTACCTTCCCTTGTAAGGTATAATCATGATATAGGACATTTAAATATGACGAAGTGAATAATGCTATATCAAAATTAGTGCATTGGTTTAACGTTAATAATCTACATTTAAACGGCAATAATACTAAATGTATAAAATTTCGAACACTGAATGTTAAAAATCTGAATAACAATGTGTTTTCAAATGCGGAAGAACTGAGCCCTGCTAAATACACTGCTTTTCTTGACATCAATCTCGGCTTCACTGGGGCCTCTATATATCTTAACTATCAAGCAGCTTGCAGCATATGCTGTTATTTCAGTTAGTTCCACAGCATAGTGTTTTATGAGATTTGATACAGGGAAATGCGGCTGATGTGGAAAATATTTTTGTTTTGGTGAAAAAGGTCATAAGAGCTATTTACAAGCTAATACCGAGAGTCTCTCAAAGAAAATATAAAGAAATAAATACAATAAATTTGACCTCACAGTATATTTACGAGAATTTAATGTATGTTCACAAAACAAAGGCAGTTTTACTAAAAAAAGTGATGATAATAATAACAATAATCCCCAGACCAAATTTCGGTCACGGCGGCCAGTCTGAACGGAGACTAGCCATGGGCGCAGGACAGGATTATAGTACCCTAGAGTATGTGCAAGCACAGGTGCACTCTCTATTCCCTTACTCTCTTAGTCCGCTGGGATGGTAAATCGATACAAATGGAGACCGCTAGACCAACGAGGCAAAAAAGTTATTTACACTTTGTAAACTAAGAGCAAACACAAGGTAATGATACCAATTTCTCGCCACCTTAGAGTCAGTAATTCATTCGTGGGGCAATGTACACGCAATTACAACTGATTCCCAGAAAATATCTCTATTATAATATAAGATCTCTATTACCAAGTTTAAATATATTATTAAACAAAAACTGAATAAAAAGGTTTATTATAACATAAATGAATAACATTGTTTCTAATAACCCCTGGGAACGAGTGATCGCTTCAAAGCAGCCTCTAAAATAAATTGTATAAATAGTTTGTACAAACTTTCTTAATGTGTAATTTAAATTTTGGAAAAAAGTCCCATTGGGTTTCTTTCTGTTAAAAGTAATGAGTTACTTTCAATAAGAATTACATGTAATCTCTATATTGAATAAAAAATTATTCAATTCTCGAAAATCAAATTAACCGTTAATAATTTTAGTTAAATTATTTACAAGTTAAACGTATTTTGATTTTTATTCAGTACACTATATATCCTATCTTTATTTGCGCTCGCTATAAATTTTGCAGGACGATAGTATACCGGGTCTCTATCGGCACCAAATTAAATTGATAAGTGCAATTTAAAAAAATTCCATACAAAGATAAGAGGACTGGACTGGACTGGAGGAGGAGAACTGTTAGAACCTTTATCACTCTAATATACAAAATAATTAATTACTGGTTTAATAACACAGGGCTGGTGTTCAAACGCCACAACATACGCATATGGTGTCATGAGTGCGACATGGGTCGACTCCAACGCGTGGTGTGGGAAGGGCACGGGACACAGTTGCTCAGCGAAGTCTCCAGCCAACCCATTGTCAAGCGTTTTCTAGAAGCGGTCCCATATATTATGGTAAGCTGTGCTTACGCCATATGCATTTCAAATCTTTTTTTAATTCTTCGATCTTATATAATGCTGAATGCACCCCAGTATATATTTTTGTTAACAAAGGAATACTTGTAAGTTATAAGCCAGTTTTATCTATAAAAAAAGAAAGAAATTAAGAAAGTAACACTTCGTTTTGGCACAGACCGTTGACATACACATCAATATGCAAATTTATATCTTAAAAATACGTAATATTAATAGTTTAACTTTGTGTGTGGTACGGCATGTTCAACAAGGTCATCACCAAACATGATTCGTGGTAAACCACAACGCTAATTTCAGTAGGTAATGAGCAAAGCCTTAGAGTATACAATCCTGGGACCAATAAAATATTTCTAGTTATATACTAAACTAGACTTTTACAAGTATACTCTGTTTTATTGCTAAAATGTTTTAGAACACGATACGTGACATCCACAATGCTGTTATTCAAAATGATCTGGAAGGTTTAATAAAGCTGACTGCAGATCCCGTGCTGCCGCGAGTGTTCTCCAGCAGGGATATAAACAATATGACTGCATTGCACAAGGTACATTTTAGTATAATCGAAACTTCAAGTTTGTAGGCACTTTAATTATATTTAGTTAAAAAAAAGGAATATATTATAAATAAATAAGTACGTAAGTTTGAAAAGTTACTAGAAAGTTACATACTATAACTTTGTACCGGTTGTGTTACGTGTGTTTAAAATTATTTCAATTGTCTTTATTTACTTATGGCTAATATTGAGCGGTATTGTTTTGAAAATAAAACCTGTGCAGTGGTATTTATTGTTTATTCTTATAGGCTGCAGGGTTGGGACACTGTGGTATTCTTAAATACATAGTTGAAAAATACCCGCAAGGCATAAACGATGTTGACAATAACGGCAGAACTCCACTACATTACGCCGCGACTGTAAAGGATGAACAACACACATACAATACCCTTGTAGGCCTTGGTGCTGATGAAAGTGTTGTTGACAACGTATGTATGGATATAATTTCTTCTCCAAAATTTTCTAGTTTTATAAGTATTACTAGACTGTAGGATATATGTAGTATCATAGCTAATGCTTCAAATCAAAACTTGCAATATAAACTACTACCTAAATCGAAATTTCATTACATTTGAAGAAATAATTTATTATTATTTTTACAGTCCTTATTTATTAAATTGTGTAGTTATGTTTCTGATTTAGCTTTATTTTAAATAACATTACGTGTAAAACATGTTATTGATACATAAAAAATATTTTTGATAAAATTGAGCGCTATATTGATAGAGGCATTAACATCTATTTATAAGGACTCTAGTACATGTGCCAGGATCGACAGAGCGTACGCGGACTGTTTTGGTATCAATAATGGTGTCAGGCAGTGTTGTGTAGTTTCCCCGTGGCTGTTCAATTTGTTTATTTAAGTTTGAAAGGTGAAGAATGCTTATTAAGAATGGATGAGTTAGCTGTCAAATGGCTCTTGTACGCCAACTATCAAGTCATATATACGCCGGCTGCGTCGATTGCAACTGTTAATAGTTCAATGAATATATATTGAAAGGAAAGGATAATGAAAGTGGACGCAAGTAAAATGAAAGTGATAATTTTTCAAAGAGAATAAAATAAAACGACAAGACGTGAAATAAGAGTAGAAGAGAATTTGATTGAGCAAGCGGATAAGTTTGGGTTTACTACTTGTAAACCCAAACTTATCCGCTGAAGTGTGTTTAATAAGACATGAATGATGTAGAAAATGGGGCACTTTTCTCCATCTTTCATGCCTATTGTGTAAAGTCAGCATGTGTTAAAAAGGCACGTATGGCAATTCACAATGCTGTTACCTTAGTGTGTTAGTACCTTAATGTATGGTAATGAAACTTGGGTGTGTCCTTCCTTACCTTCCCCTCTGGGTGCGAGCTTATGTTATGTTTGTTATTTTTATTACTGATTTTTATAACAGCAAATTATTAAATATAATTTTTGAATTTTTAGAGAAATAAAAGTCCTGCTTATTATGTTAATAGACCGCAGGAAATTGACAAAAGTACACTAAAAATTTTACCTGATGCACCACGCACCCCATCAAGTGCGTATCCAACGTCCTGGGACTGGAAATTACTGGATGTTGAACATACAGCTGATATAAATAAAAAGCATCGAAAGAAGAAAGCGTCCAACGAAAATATATCATCTAAAAATAACACTAGTACCTTATCAGAACCCTTTGAAAATCGGATAAATTTAATGAAAGGTAGTAGTACACACGAGCATATAAATACTTTACCTGAGCTAGACGATACAGATAAACCAAATATACCTAAAGATGTTGAAGAAGAAAATGCAAAAAATATAAAGGTTTGCATCGCATGCCAAATCATCTTAGATTGTAATTATTATTCTTTTGCTTGGCTTTTTTGATAAACATTGCATGACTTTTTCTATTCATTTTAGGCATCAGAAGTAATAGAAGAAAACAACCATGAAGAAGTGAATGTAGATAAAGAAAAAGATACTACTATAGAATCTCTAGAATTTGATAAAAACTTAACAGCAGAAGCTATTGATAGTGAAAATTTACAAGTGCCTTCAACAACAGATGAAAAAGAAATAGAAGACGAAGGTAAAAGTTTGCTACTGAATAAAGAAGAAAATAACGACGAAGAAAAATGTGACACCAAGGACATAGTAGAGTCAGAAAATGAAAATAGTACACACAATGATACTAATGAAAAAGGCACAGAAAAAGAAAGGATAAATGAAATCGAAGGTGATAATGTAGATCATAATATAGACGAAAACGAAAATGAATCTGCAAATCCAAATGAGCAAGTAGGAAATGAACAATTTAAAAATGATGATAGTAAAGAGACAGATGGTCACAAAGATAGTTTTAATAATGAGGATCAAACTAATGACAAAAATTCAATAGACGCTATGTGTGATTCGGAAGAACAATTAGATAAAGATCAAGAAGATATTACTGACATAAATGAACACAGGACATCGAATGGCGAAGTAAGAACAGAAGAGCAGGAAAATGAATCTCATGACATAAATTCTGATATGAATGTAGAAGACAAGAAATCGGTTGCCAATGGACCAGAAGGTAATAATAACTGTGATCGCAATGAAGATGACGACGATGTACAAGTGCAAGAGAAATTACATATAGAACACAATGGTTTAAACGTAACCATAAGAGATCAAATTAATAATTCCTCTTTTGGTATTACCACAACTGAAACTATTTAAATAAACTAAAATTTTACTAATTAGATGTTTTAGGGGTCCCTTATAAGTTAAATATTTTTGGTTGTTTTACTAATTAAGGAAAGCAGAACTACGGCAGAAATACTCAGGAAAGTCTTATAGAAGGTATCATTAGTGGTGATGCTGAACAAGATTCACAAGATGCCAGTATGACACAAAAAGATGGATCTGTACACGGAGATATACTTATAGTTGTAAGTATAATTCATACAGAAAAGTTTCAAAAAATCTACAAACTGAAAGGTAATGACGTAAATTATTTATTTGATTGTGGTGAACTTTAGAATAGCTGCATCATTGTTGCACTGTGCAATTTACACAGACACTTCGTAACACCACTGTCATAGAATAATTTGCTAGCTTTTTAGGTTAAGTTACAGGTTTTTCAGGATGTAGTTGGCAAATGCCTTCACAAAAATATTAGCGTACTTGCAATTTTATGCATGATAACTATACAAATATAAATAACACAATTAATCGATTTTTTTTAATTACACAGGATAATGAAATTGATCCAGAAGTAACAGATTTAATAAATAGTGCCAATATGGAAATGCTAGCTACTTTAGTTCTCAATGGTGAGGGTTCCAGATTAATTGGAAGACGTTCCCATAATGCAGAACTACAAGCATTTCTAGAAAATGTGCCTACGTATATGGTAAGCTTTAGTTCTACAGACTTTTATTTCGTTTAAATGTCAAGAAATTAAAATCAATTTTTGAACGAACTTCAATTCGTTTAAAAGTTGTGAGTGAATAAATAGCTATAAAAGAAGCCAAAATTATACAAGTTATTAATTACATAATCATTAAAAAAAACTATCTTTTCTGCAGCAAAAAATCAATCGTGTGCATTTGGCAGCAAGAGGAGGCAATATAAGAGATCTGCAAACAGCTCTAGATAGAAGAAAATTTGCAATTGCCAGAGATCCCATATCTCCAAATGGTGCTACTCCGTTACACGTAGCTACGGTGTTTGGGAAAACAAACATCATAAAATATCTTGGCGGCAGGTGGGTTAATACTTAACAAAAATCTTATATATATATATATATATATATATATATATATATATATATATATATATATATATATATATATATAATATACATATATATATATATATAATATACATATATATATATATACTATATATTATGGGCCCATTCTATTACAGCTCTTCCAAAGTCCACTACTGAACATTGGCCTCCCCCAAGGAACGCCACAAAGCACGTTCTTGAGCCCCCTGCATCCATCGACTACCTGTATATATCACCAGGTCGTCACTCCATCTAGTGGGAGACGACCCTACACTTCGCCTACCGGTACAAGGCTGCTACTCGGAACCTTTCTTCCCCATCGATTGTCAGTTCTTCGAACTATATGACCGGCCCATATTACTATGGTTCTACTGCGGATATCCTCATTACGCAGAGAAACTCTTAGAATAGCCTTCTCCTTGCTTAGCAACCTTGACGGCCAGCTGGCAACACGCACTGGTTGTACAATCTAGTTTTCAGAGTTTGAGGTATACCTGACGAGAAGATGTGTCGTTATGTCCCGAACGCTGCCCAGCCGAGTTGAATCCGTCGATTGACCTATCGGTCTAAGTTGGACTTACCTAGTCGCACGATTTGTCTTAGGTAGTGTGCTCACAACAACTACCGGCAAAGGTATGGGCTTAAAGTATAAATAAGCATACTTTAAGATTATAATTATTATAATAGCCAACATGAAGAAAGGAAAAAAGTCAAACAATCTAGTTCACAAAGACACAAAATCACAATCCAGAATAATGCCCGGTTAGTTCATTAAATCACTTGATAATCGAGTCCACTCGTCACTCCCTGAATTTTTAATAGCATCACTACCTGTTCCACTCTTACTTACCAATGGTGTAACTATCTGAATCTGTAACCCAAAACCTGGCATAGAATAACATTCTCAAGGACAATAATTAATAATTGTGTTTTGTTCTTGTGCAGAAAAAATATGAATATTTTTGTGCTAAGTGTCACTATATATAGTCTTATAGTATTATACCATTTTAGAATTTAGATTAGTTTTCCTAACTTTTATAATAATTTGCCATACTACTTGCAGTAGTAGATACATTTTTATAGCGTGACAAGTGAAAGTTGATTAAAATTAAAAAATTTCTAAATTTGCAAGAATTTCATTAACCTAATTTTTATTTGGAACTGGGATGATTAGCTATGCTACTTAGGATGCTAATATAAAAAATACAGTGATATCTGCAAATTTGTAGCCGTAGTACCCAAAATATTGTATAGATTTTAAATTATTTAAAAAAATTATTATAAATTTAAAAAAGTCAGACTTTTTACCCTGGTGCCCGCTGTTGAATTCGGGGTCACGTGGTATATGTTTGGACCAAGTTATAAATCGGGCCACTATTATAATGTTATCGGGCTACATAATTACTACTGAATTAAGCTTCATTATTTATCACATTGTAGTCACAGTGATCATAACCTTTTTTTAGATCGAGAAATGCTTACGGAAACCCACCTTACGGGAGCAAGGATGGATTATGTCGAACTCGTATCGACTAAAATCCTTTATGGTACCCCAGCGTTACCTGCGATAGTCGCGCCATGGTGGCCGCTTTCTAGGGGAGGACTATTCATCCCCCTGCTCCTTCTCACGCAAGGCTTATCCAAATTCGCCTGCGCAGCGGATGCCTCCGTGTCGTGAAGGCCATGGAGCAAGGAAAAACGAGTACTTAAAAGCACTTACCTTCCTGATCCAAGCGCCGGACCTAATCTAAGGCTCCACCGCCAACTAGGTTTCGGCCGCAGGTGGTAGATAGAGCAGCGCCTTGCATTACTGACACTCCTTTCCCCACGCAGACCCTCCACCACCGCATCAGCAGGGCGGGCCCGCCAGTCCCGGAGGATAAGGCGAGAGGCGCCTCGCTCTACCAACAACACGGCTACTAAGCCCTCTCCCTCCCCACGCATTGTTCAAACTGTGTGGGAATTATAAATAATGTCTTATTCATCACTTGATCCATAATATGCGTATTGCATTAAATTTATTGTATAAAATATAAAGTTTACTACAGGTTTCCTGAAACTCTATCTGCTGTCGACTTTGAAGGAAGAACAGCTTTACATTATGCTGCAGTAATACCAGACAATGGACATTATTACAATTTATTGCAACAGCTTGGTGCTAACGAAAAAGATTTGGATGATGTAAGATAGAAATCTCGTAAATTATTTCTGTACTTTTCTTGTCGAAAACATCATTATTAGAATAGGTTTTCTTATTTTTTAGAATGGTCGCTCAGCTAAAGATTATTTAAACAATCCAAATTTATTACCTTATGAACAGTTAATTGCCGATTATGGTATGAGTAATGAGATAGCTCAAAATATGTTGTCGGATAAAGGTATGTATACAACATATAGTTTTCAAAAAAATATTTTAATTTATTTTTTCAAAGTAAATCAATTAATAATTTCATAAACGTAGTTCCTGAAGATCATGTTTCGTCACGTCGGGATTTGGATACACCAGAAGCTTTAGATATACTAGAACGTTGCTATCGTCTTCTTGCTTCTGCTAGACCATCTCGGACTCCCCTTTCTGCATCATCAAATAAAGCCACGCCACCGTTTGTGTTGGGTAGATTTCTAAAGAGATCTATATTTGAAGAAATAAGACACCGAGTAACAAAACTCGATCATGACCTTTTTGACGTCATTTGGCCAGCCGTAAAAAAACTACCAAATAATAAAAATGTTGTCCAAACTGTAGAAGAAGACTTTCCAGGTGGTGTAACAGCCCCAGACTATTATGTATACGAAGTTTTTCATGAATTTTTAATCCCGTTAGTTAAAGATCTTCACAATATAAATAATTCTTCTGATTTACCCATACATCCTCCATCAGACTTCGATACAAAAGTATCAATATCGACTTCCGCATCTGAACCTTTTATTGAATTAAATGTTGATCCAAGTGATGAATTTGTTATATCTGGATCAATTGAGTGCTCGAGAAATTTATGCGACTTTGAATTGCCATTAAATCTCAAGGTTGGTAAATTGGAAACTGTCGAAAGAATCATAACTACATTACTAATGCATGAGAAATTTTCATCCTTAATAGAAAAATTTTATCCGGAAACTAATCAGAAGGGTGGGACGTATTATACTTTAAATGAAGTTTTAGAGAAACCATCAGAAATATGTGCAACATTAGCTGAAAATGGCTTACTTATAGCTTTGTGTGATAAAGAAGAAATTGACGATTGTACACGATTACATGGTAGGCACTGGCCATATGGTCGTGGCGTTTTTGTAAGTGACGATAAAACGATAGCCATTTGGATTAATGTGCATGATCATTTGCGTGTAATAGTATCTACCCCATCTGACGCCCCAGGTGAAATTGGTATAGCATACAACAAAATGTGGTTTATAATGTCCCATCTCCATGATAGATTGGACTTTGTTTGGAATCAAAAAATTGGGTACTTATCAAGTCGTCCAACCTTCTTGGGTGTTGGAATCCGTTTTAGTTTGATAGTAAACTTTCCTGGATTGTCGAAAGATTCAGACAATATGAAACATTTATGTGCTGTAAGAGGTCTACAATATCGAGAAACATTAAACGCAGACATAGCAAGAGTAAGCAACTACCAATGCTTAAGTACAACTGAATCCAACTGCTTCAATGATTTTGCAACAGCAGTTACTAATCTTCTTCACTTAGAAAAGGACCTATCAATGCAGAATTCAGCACATTTAACTGCAATGTTAACGAATATTTTCAAGAGAAAAAGAAATAGCTTAGCAGAATTGCACAACCAAAATTTGCGTGAATACCAATAATCTAAATGTAAATAGTAACTTTTAGTATTGTAAGAAATATTAGTTGATAGGAAGTGGGACTTAATATTAGGGTTTCAATATTTTTGTGTTGGAAAGACATAAAGTGAGCTGTAGACTGAACTGCCAGTTTTGGAGATGACATGTCCGACGTCCTTATTTTAATTTTAGGTCAGTATATAATTGTTATTATAGACATTAAAATTTCGCGTGTTGTAGTGAAAATAGACGTGACTTGCATACTTTCACGCTTTGTCACTATCAGATATAAATAATAGAAGCTTATGTATTTTTATTACACACTCACCATCAGCCACTGTTGTCTTTCCAACACCAACCCAATTCTTTAAATAAAATGAAAACACATACTTGTTTGACACACCTTTTTATTTTTATTTTGTTTGTCGTTGCTGTGTAATGTGTTAATTAAGAATCATTTCTGAAATTATTATTTACTAAATCAACCATATTAATGAAACCAACCTGCTACTATATGTGCAGTTATTACATTTATTGGCAACCACGGGCCTGGTGATATAAATATTTATATATAATAAATGTATTATATACCAGATTAAGTACGTAAAATTACTCAGTGTTTATCTTTGGGTCTGAGATACTAGAATCTAGAACGAGACTAATAAATCTCTAGAACGTAGAGTGCCTCAAGATTAGCGGAAAGATTATCACAATATAATGTCTTCTGCGGAATCTAATACAAAAGTATAATACTCAAAATAAAACCCTAATTTACACATTACATGTAAATGCTCCGGTCAATGCCCATCCTAATGGTAAATTACCCATGAAAACCGTAAAGAAATGTTATTGAACGTGACGGGACACACGATCAATGTATATGAATTATGTGTGTGATACGAACTAATGGAATCGTACGTTTTCCGCCTCCGCTTACATTTCTTTTTCATTTTACCACCACACATACAGGTGGGTCTTTTCACGTACAAACACAGGCGTTAGACATATTCGACACACAACGAAGGCCATCACTGAATAATTTATGTACTTCAGGTGAGAATCACGCAGCCAACGGCCACATGGACATTCCCGTCTTTTATACTGAAGAAGGCAGATACCTTGCTAAGTGTAAGCAGAATCATTTAAAATTAAAATAAACAATGGATACTCAGAAACCTATTGGAATAAGGACGCTTACGCGAACACTATTTTCACAGCTCTCGGAGATCCTTTGATCAAAGGTTTAACCGAAGTGGCTAACGTAAAACCAAAAGATCCAGTCGCGTTCCTTGCCAGTTTTCTACACCATTTCCCTGAAAGCGAGAAACCTCGATTAAATACCCAGGTAAGTCATACATCGCGAATTTAAATATTTACAAAACGTGTGCATTACCATCTAACTCCCAGGGGTTATTATCAATCTTGCTTTTCATTAATATAATAATAACTCTTTTGTCTTTGTTTATTTTAAAAAGTAGTAGTTAGTGATTTACAAGCCGTGTATATTTTCAAGGATTTTCTTTTAAAAACATCAGACATTTGTCATTTATTATATAGCTATAGTGAATATGAATTGATGTTTACTTTATTTTAATTAAAAATATTTAACTGCTATTCAAAGTTTTTAAATTCTTTTTTTATACAATCAAGGGTGATAAACGACAACAAACGGCACTCAGTCCACCTAATAATTAGTGAATACTGTCGCCCATTGACACTTTCTTCTATCTTCGATTTACAATTAAAAAGCAGACGCGAAACCCTGGGATCTAAGATGAAATTTCTCATTCTCAGTAAATATGTTTATTGGTTCTTGTCACTTCTTGTGATGCTGGTATTCTGTACGAGTGTGTTACGAGCGTTTGTCTCCTGGTCGAGCCGACCAATAAGTTTTGCAGCCATAACAGGCTGTATTGTGGTCCGTATATAAGTTTATTGTTACTTCATCACATCATTTCACATCAACAGCCTTTTAAGTCCACTTTGGGACTTTATTAAAACCTACCAGTTGACATACACTTCTTGGGAGATTTGCCCAAAATCACCACGTTTAGTAAGTAGACTAATAAGCATCACTGATCGCACCGATAATGATCTTCCCCGTCACCACCCTGTAAAACATATGTTCAAAGATTTTTGTGTAATGGATTTACTCGTACCGCCATTAATCGGTCGCGAGAGTATCGTCGAGACTGAAGAAAAAGTTGATATGTTGCTTACTTCTTCACTTTCTTCATCAGCTTGTTATTATGGGAACAATGTAACTCAATCGTTGCGCTTGGGAGGCGGCTTGATTATAAGAGTAACAGACATCTCGCCCCTTAAAGCTAATGGCGGTCACCGCCTGTATTTGACGTGTTTTGTAAACGCGATTGTTATACAGTTAGCGATTGGAAGATATCAGATTTTACTGGTGTTAATTTTCTTTGAATAATAGCAGTATTTATCCAGCATACTTTACTATTTACTGTCGCAACAAACCTTGGTTTCAATTTTCGAAAATCGAGTTTTCATCAGATCTCGAGGACGCTATTCTGACTCTGTTTTTTTTTTATTGGAATAACTTTTAAACGGCTTTACTGATCGATTCAAAAACTAATCAGCTCTTAACCTCAAAAAGTGACGTCTATGTCGTTTGAAAAAAAAAATCGGTTCATTCGTTCGTGAGATATATAGAAGGAGAAAGAATTCGAAAAAAACGTTTTTTTTTTTAACATAACTTCATTTCTCAATATAATTTAGTAAAATTTGGAGTGCTTTGCATTTGAAATCAGCGAGAAGTTCCAGGGATGGCCTGCAGGGTCAACCAATTTTTTTATTTCTTTCTTTTATTCTTATTTCTTCTTAATATAAACAGGAAACCAACCTAATAGTGACTAGCGAAGCACCGGAACTAGAGAATGAGCATCCTCCGCCGGCGTCTCCCCTTGTATCTGCTAAATCTCATAACAAGCAACGGAGTGCAGCGCGAACGGCTACCCTTCCTCAACGACCAATTGACGTTATCGCCCTGGATCCAAAATCTAAAGTCAGTCCCGGCTCTCCAGAGATCGCATTTAGTAGTGCCAACAGGGTAAGTATTTTTGTATTTATTTTTTCTTAAGTTTTCTGACGTTACAGTTATTTAGTGTACATAGGACTACAGAGTTATGCGAGTCATGATATAAATTATTTCTTTTCAGGCTTAGTACTCTTGTTTTTTATGAAGCAAGAAAGACCCATAAATATTTAAGCCTTACATTACAGGCCTTCACAAGTCCACTTTTAAACATACTCATGAGCCACCTGCATCCATAGACTTTCTGAACTTCTTACCAGGTCGTCACTCCATCTAGTCCGCCCGCCATACATGTCGCTTACCGGTACGAAGCTACCACTTCAGAACCTTTCTTTCCAATCGGTTGTCGGTTCCTCGAGCTATATGGCCGGCCGTACTTTAAGTTATTGATGCGGGCGTGCTATTTAAAAAAAATGTCTGTATTGAGGCAGGCGAATCACTAGATGATAAAAAGCCATTGTTTAACATGGGTCTCGTCCATTGTAGGGAGGATATATGCTTTAATCGTGACGCTTAGCGGATGGATTGACAGAAACATCAGTACCAGATATTTCACATCTTTGACGCTGCTCACCGTTGTCAGTCTTAGTAATTTGCGTATGGCAAAGATGAGATTGGTTATAATGCCATCTATCGGAAAAAATATAATCTTTCCTGTTATTCTTAAAGTTGTCTTTTACACTACACTTAAATTAAATTGATTCTTGTGTATTCATTAACAAAAGTCATATCGAAATATCGTTGACAGGACGAACATGGCCAGTCAATGCTGCATTTCGCAGCAGCGCGTACCCACACCAACAACGCGCTGTTCCAACTACTTCAGGAATCTGACGTGAGTCTGGGCTACCGGGACGAACTCTATCGTACTGCAAGGGATGTGTCGATACAAGCAAACGTACCGGAGAATACGGTGGAGATTGACAAATGGGTATTGCACTTAGCTGCAAGAGGTTAATTTCATGTCAAAGTATTTCCTATCTAGAAAACAAGCTAATATATATATATATATATATATATATATATATATAGATATATATATATATATATATATAATATATATATATATATATATATACTATTGTTATATTTATACATAACTAGTTTAAAGGGTATAAATGCAATTGACATCCAAGGCACATGAGTAGATAATCTACTCATGTGCCTTGGATGAGCGTTTATCAATCAAATTGGCGATATATTGAAAATGGGCAAAATCAAGACCCTTAACCGACGAGCATGTATGTGTAGGTATATGAGTGTGGAGGAGGCGGGAGAGATATATCAGGATCTTGCCAAATGTAAGTCTGTAGTCTCTAACTACCCTCTGGGTGACAGGCGTGAGCTCTTATGTATGTAAAAACCAATCCATGTGTGCCAGTGTTTGTACCAGCTACGAGCACACAGTCCACCTAATGGCAAGTGGATGCTGTGGCCCATAGACATCTACATTTATCCTCGATAAAGAATCAAAATGCAGATGCGTTTTCACCCCTTAGGACTAAGATAGAATGTCTCGTTTCCAGTAAAGAGGGCCCCGGATCTCTACACTCATCATACGAAACACAGCAGTTAAGCTGATAATTTACGCTGATATTATGTGAGGGCGTGGTCCTTCCCCGGTCGAGCCGACCCATACGTGCTAAAACCATAATATAGCTGCAGCGTGGCTATACCATGTATGATACTGTGCTAAACTACTACCTAATGATAAGTCGTGATTACTGCCTAAGATGGTAAAGCGTACCGACTTAGATTAACAAAAGTCTATTTACCTTAAAGACATTCACATCGTAATCAGATGTAAAAAAAAGTTGCTGGCAAATTATTCCACTCCTTTGTTGTGTGCATGACGAACGATGAAGCAAAACATTTGGTTTAAATGCGTGGTAAGTTGACAACGAAGGATTGGGCACTGGCTGAACGTCATTTTCTCCGATGTGAAACGAGAGTGAGGTATTGAGTT